GCAATCGGAAGCCATCTTGGTTAACATTTTCCAACGGAGTTGAGTGGTTGTGCCATTTTTGTTTCGTACATGTTAGTGGAATGTGGTGTCTGTTTTGATTCTCAGCGGATGGTACGTATTTCTTTTTCAGTGATTTCTAAATTTTTCGACCATGTCTATTAATCATCAATGTATTTGTAGACTTTTGCCGGTATGCCTAATATGACTGTGTGCAATTTTAATGTTTCTTTATTCCTCGATTCTTCGTGATCGTTTGAGTAATTTTATGGAAGGTATACTTAGACTGTTAGATCATATGCTCATGGTTCATGAGTCAGGACTGATAAGCTTTGATCTCTATTACAAGCGGCTGGAACGATTTGAATTGTCATTTGTAATGTGTAAATCAAATTCTTGCCCTTTGTCGAAATATAGTTTTTTTCTACCTATTATTTTAAATGCTATATTTTTATAATTGCTTTTAGTAGTTTTTCCTTTGTCCTTCATGTGTATATATGCTCGGCGATGCGAGTTTTAGTGTCCTACGTTTGGCTTTCTGTGGACGATAAAAATGCTCGATGATTGATGTCTCGGAGTTTGTTGATTTCGACATCCACTGTCCTGTTGCTACTATTTTTGTGTCATTGTACTGAACTTCTAATTACGGTCTGATGAAATGCCAGATCAAAATTTGGCTATTTCTGGCAGAAGACAAGCAAGGGAAAAAATGACGATGAGGTAGCAAAAATTCTTTTCCAAAGGAGAAAAGCTCAAGGAAAGTTAGTCTCGATTGTCATTCACTTTCGTAATTTGGACATTTTGGCGTCCTTTTCATAAAGTTGATGGTCTGGTGCAGACCTCGGTTTCTCTGCTATCGGTCAGAAGTGCCTGATTTAAACGCAGAATCTACTGCCACGTAGTTAGCGTAGTGTATGGTGTGTTGTTTCCTTTCCCACAAAGTGGTACTCATCAACGCCGGATGGAACCATTGCGAGTGACCCCGACTGGGGTTTGAACACAAAACCTATCGGCTCTGAGTTCAACGCTCTACCTACTGAGCTACCTTGGTCTGGAGCAGTGTGTGGTGAATTACTTGCTCAAGCGAATTCATGAGTAGTACGAAGAATCCCCGCGAGCAAAATCGAACCCGGCACCTCCAGAGTTCGAAGGAGACCTCTTAGGCAAATGTGCGAACACGTGATGCCTCTTTCCAACACGGCTGGAATAATGGGAGTTTACTAGCATCATATTTTGATTCTCTGTTTCAGTAGCTCAGCAGTAGCTGCTGTTACTGTACAAATAGTAGAGAATAGCATGTTCGCTAATAGTTATGAATCTTGTTATTTTCCCGTGATCATGTCGAGTGCGTGGCAAAAGTGACTTCAATCGTCTGCTTTGTAGCTGTATATTTTATTGTCCCCTGTGCATCGTGTTTCCATTCACAGTGAATGGAAATAGAAGTATTTCTGGACACTGAGAAACGTAGACGATCGAAATTTCGTCGGTGACGTACATTTTTTTAAATGCTGTATAAATAAATTTAAGCGTTTAAATGCTGTTTCAAACGCGCTTCCGATGCATGAGATTAGATTGGCGTAAATTATTACCTTTGATGCTATATATGCATAACGCTGTCGTTTGCATAAGGCAGCGCAGCTTTACCGAACAAAAAGGATGCAAACTGCACCCCTTGTATTCGCTGTTATTAGTGTACCACTTGACACGTAGACAGTAATTGTTAGAACGTCAAACTGTAACTGCGGTATCATTTTTGGAACTTGATGATCCAGTTTTTCCAGTATTTTGGTGACTGCGCGATATGATAAGTCGTACGTAACCAGTTCGACAGCTGCACTCTTGAAGTTTAAGGTCGTATAAGGCTACAACAACATAACTATGTAATAGTGAAAGCCGGTTGATGAAAATGATCACTGCTTGTGTTTTGACAGAAAATATCGTGACAAAGAAGGGTCCTAAAATTGTAATTTGACTTACAGTCATTATCAAATCCTGAAATAAATTAAGAACTTTTGAATATTCTAGTCAGTACATAATGATTTTTTTAACTGGCTAATGTAATTCGTTTTTAGGTAGTTGTCGTGGATCAGATGCTGTGCAGGCACCATGGATCAGAAGTTTATTTGTCCTTCTGGTTTCGAAAGTAGTGCAATAAGTGAT